ATACGAATTTGACTTTAATTGTACTAATTGAATCAGTTGCTTTGCAGTTGGACAGTCACTTGCGCAGCGTGAAAATTCCGGCTACCAATTTCATACTTAAGTCTTCACAAATTTGATTTCAATTGTACGAATTTGACTTCAATTGTACGAATTTGACTTCAATTGTACGAATTTGACTTAAATTGTACTAATTTGACTTCAGTTATACGAATTTGACTTTAATTGTATTAATTGAATCAGTTGCTTTGCAGTTGGACAGTTACTTGCGCAGCGTGAAAATTCCGGCTACCAATTTCATACTTAAGTCTTCACGAATTTAATTTCAATTGTACGAATTTGACTTCAATTGTACGAATTTGACTTCAATTGCACGAATTTGACTTCAATTGTACTAATTTGACTTCAGTTATACGAATTTGACTTTAATTGTACTAATTGAATCAGTTGCTTTGCAGTTGGACAGTTACTTGCGCAGCGTGAAAATTCCGGCTACCAATTTCATACTCAAGCCTTCACGAATTTGACTTCAATTGTACTAATTCGACTTCAATTGTACGAATTTGACTTGCAAAACCAACCAATCCACACATCATACAAATCAACATACACAAAAATAAACAACACTTGTTCAGACATTCAAATACAAAATATTAATCTCAACAATACAGGTTCAGTCAAAATACATACAAAAAAATCTAGTTCCCCCAATCATCACGGAGTCGAGTTCGATCCACATGAGGATGCGAATACGGGCAATGGTCCGCGAAATGTTCTGGATCACCACATCTACTGCATTGATCTCGGTCCCTTCTGCGGCGCGCCCGACGATCCATTTGCATTTTAAAGCGTCTCGTTTGGGCACGACCGGGTCCAGGCTTCGAGATGATCCTGTCCCAATTCGGAATCAAATTCCATCCCACCTGCGGCCACGTGTCAGGATTTCCAACTGGAGCAAAATTCCAATTAGAAAATTGAGCAACCCAGTTCTCCGTCCTAAAGTGAGAATCGTACAACAAGTTCGGTTGATCACCCCGGTAACGACACACGGCTAATGCATGAGAGCATGGTTTCCGATATGTCTGCCACTTTCGACATGTACAACGTCGATGCTAATAATCAACCGTAAACCTGTTTTCCACAATGATTGATATATATAAATAAAAATAAAAAACAACTATTTTGAATGGACAAATAAATAATAAAAAAACATACTTGTTTTGCCCTCTTCCACTGGCGCGTAGACCAGTTATCACCTTGTATTGGGATCCGTCGGCGTTCGCACATTGCACCTCGTGAGTCGCCGCTGTCCTGTCCAACACCAGATAGGCGGCATAGAGTTCGGTCGGAATGAGACTCCTGCAGCTTGTGGACTTTTTTTGTTCCTGTTCAAACAAAGCTAGAGTCTTGTCCATTGTGGCCTGTACCAACGCTCTACAAGGCAGGAACCTGACACCTTTGAGGACATTGTTGTAACTTTCTTACATATTGGTTGTCAGAGTGCCCCATCGACGTCTGTTATCTTTGTACAGGGTCCACTTTTCCAAAGGAATTCGGAAAAGGTAATTGTATGCTTCCGGGTGACATTCCTGAAGTTGCTGTTGAGCCTGCTCAAATTTCCGACGAGAACACAATGAACCCAACCTCCAGCACAAAACTCGGACTTTCTTATTCCGATACCTTGAAAGCACGTTGCTCCGGAGGTGTCGAAGGCATATCCGATGAAATGCATGGGGTTCGTGCCAAGCCTCCAGTAATTCAACGGCACTCAATATGCCGTTGTCCCTGTCAGAAAGAAGACATATCGGTTTGTCGCGAATGACATGATTACGCAGATGTGTTAGGAAAAAAGACCAGCTAGCTGTGCTTTCTTCGTCCACAATCGCATACGCGACTGGCAATAGACGCTTATTCACTGTCTGTGCAATGGCAACAAACAACTTCCCCTTGTATGAACCTGCTCAGTTTGACATATGATTTTTGTTTATCAGACACTATTGTAAATCAACAAATGAAATAAAAAAAATATTTTGCTACGAACCTCGCAGGTGAGTGCCGTCGATGCTAATAATCGGCGGACAACGAAGGAATGTTTGAATGGCGGGGCCGAACGCCCAGAAGACAAATCTGAATTCTTTGTCTCGAGAATGATGCGCCAATTCCCCACCCTGCCATTGCCACTCAACAACTGTACCGGGATTCGCCATTTGAATGGCGGCGAAAAACCTAAAAATTATAAAAGGTAACCATAAATAAATAAATAATTAAATATAGTTATAACCAACAAGGAAATACATTAATAATTAATTTCGACACTTACTGGGGGAGTTGTGCAAAATTCGATTCCCACGTGCCATACACACGATCGATGGCTTTTTTTCTCCCGTGCCACGCCTTCTTATAGCTGACATCGACGCTCCAGGCGCTTTTTACGTCGGCCTGCACCATTTCCACACTGTAGGTCACCTGCTTCTGAATCTTAGCCAACAGAAGATTTGAGATCATGGTGGCGGTCACATTCTTATGGTCATTTCTCTCGAACACCTGCATGCAAGTGTGGCTATCGGTCCATTCCATTACCTCCCACATGTCGTGAACCCGTGTGTTAAGACTCACCCGAGCCTTCCATATACATGGTGGAACTTCATTCGATCTACACACAACTTTGAACGACCTCTTGTTCGAATCTTTTGTCCGGACAGCCCTAAGATTCTCAACGTTCCAAGCCATAACACCAGTCTGAGCTTCTTCCTTGGTACGAAAAACTGTACCCAAACGGATAGTCTCGACATGCCCATCCCAGAGTGGCAAGGCATACTCGTCCCTGTCTACACACGACGCGTCCCACTCACCCATCTCGCGATATGAGTGGAGGCCTTCATTTGGAAAGGGGTGTTCTTCAATGAATTCTTGTTCGCTTTCCTCATGAATTGATCTGTCCGATTCGGTTTCCGATGTCTCATCAGTGAAATCGTCTTCACCGGGACTGAAATCTTCATCTCCAACAATTTCTTCCTCAATGTCCGGTCCTCTCATGGTAAAGCTCGTCCCTTCGCCGAAATTATTCGTCCCTTCACCAAAATTACCGGCATGCGTAGTCCATGTACCCTGATCACCAAACACTCCCCCGTAACCATATGATGGGGCAGGATCCTCAACCTGTGTAACCTGTGTGTTTGCTTCCAACACAATATACAAAAACACAACAGACATACGAGGATAGTAGTAAATCCACTCAAGCGCACTATCATTATCCAGTCTTACGGGAATAAACGACCCATCCGGTTGTTGGACCATGAAAGTAATATTCGAAATTGTCCAACTATCACGAAGTCCACCATTTTTCGTAAATTATATCTACCAATTGCTCATATGATATTCTCTCATTAATAATAAATGAACAATCCGGACGAGCCAAATAATTCGAAAAATTCCCTAACTCACTTTGAGGAATTTTCCAGTACACATTAACAAAATAAGGACCTATAGACGCCATTTATAACCTGTTGCACAAAAAAAAAATAATAATCATATTTTTATTCCAACTAAAAAACAATAGCAAATGCCCTAATCACCACAATCCAACAATAATCTAACAATAATCCAACAATAACCCAACAATAACATCAAATTCATAAAAATTTCGAATAAATATTCAACATACAACAAAAATCCTAATCACTACCAATACCTAATTAATTACCATAATCCAACAATAAAATCAAATTTATAAACAATTCGGATAGATATTCAACATACAACAAAAACCCATCATACAATAGCTAATTATAATCATTTAACACAACGATTAAACCAATATTCAAGAATTCCTAAACAATACTCAATTAACCAAATATACTTCAATTAAACATTAATAAACAACAAAAACATAATACTACATTACATTAAAATAACAACTAACCTCTTCCCCGACGAT